ATGGAAGAATTTCTCGGATTTGCTTTGTTCTTCATGACCTTGGTGGCTTTGAAGAATACTGCTCTGGTGTTTTGTGGAATGATGCTCAAACTTGGGTTTCTCTGATGTTTTATCTCTGAAAGAGTCCCATGAGGAGGTCACATCCTATCCAAGCATATGTAATACCATAATTCATTGCTAGTGATGTTTCTCCACTGCAAAGTTGCTATTTTGTAAATTGCATGCTCTCTTCTTTGGAAGGGAGTTATTAAAGTCCATCCTACCCTTTCGAGGAGGGAAATGAATGGCCCTGTCTGGAGGTAAAACTATCAAACATAGAGTATTTAGAATTCTGTAAAGATTTGTCTCTTCTTCTCATTTATTTATCTATTCAATCCCATGTTCCTATCAATTTGGACGCATGAATGTTTATTTTATTCTTTGGGCTATAACCCAATACTACCATTATTCATTTTGTTGCTATTTATCTTTGGTCTGCATAATTTTGGGTGAAATTGATGCCTAGACTTTTATCTTCAGTTATGTTAAGTAGAAATCATTTCATGTATCTTGAATTTATACTTTTCCAGATTTCATGGTCGTCCCATCGTTCTAGGACTCTGAGATTTGCTGCATCCTTGTATGTCATCCGCTGTGCAAAAGGAAAGACGAGCCAGCTCTGTTTGCATGATTTTTATAAAATTTAACAAATCCCCCCCGTTTATTGCTACAGATGAGGTTCCGATTTCTTTTTCTCCATGACAGTAACATAAGGCATACATAAAGCACATATCAGAAACATACCTTTATACAGACATAAACTTTCCACCCTGAAAATTCAGATGTTTGCCTCACTTTGCCACATAGATCAACTTTATTCTTGCCACTAAGATCCCAACCCATGGATGTCTTCTTCCCCAATGTTGCTTAAACGAAGTTTCAGCTCTCAGTTCTTTATCCATGGGTTATTAAAGCAGCAAAAACACTGAGTGGGTGAGAGAAGGAGTCAAGAATGAGGAGGAGGGGTCAGATAGCTACATGCTGTTCATGAGACTCATATATTCCAACATGTGATGTCCCTGAATAGAAGTTAATCTCCTTTTGAATTACTCTCCTCTGAAACTTTGCCAGCTTTTCTTTACTTAACTGTCTTGCACTGCACGCTGGGGACACAGACATTCTTGCTGGTTTGGAGGATGTTCCTGCCTTCTGATTAACCACCTTTTCATGTGCTGAGAACTGTGTGCATATGAAGCCACTGCAGCCTATATGAAGTTATATCACAGCACATACCATCCTTCATTGCTGTTATTGGACTTTACCACCTCCCCCATGACTGAGTACTTGTAGGGAGGAATCTGAGTACCTGTGCAACAACTGACACCTGATAGATAGTCTTACACGTTAATGTATGAATGAAGAGTAAATGTTTTGTACTCCGTCAAAACTTGCCCACAGTGAAATTCATCTGCTGCATTTTCAGTGTACTCAGCTTTGTAAAACAGGTCTCACAGTTTCCAGGCATTTACTACTCATAAAAGCTCAGCACCATGTGCATATCTGATGATTTTCCTGCCCACTTTCTCATCTAAGTAATTTAAAATCACCTTAAATAATTATGAACCAAGCAGAAGTCTGGGGGTTTTGTAACCAATATTTCACACAGAGAAGCACTAGCTTATCCTAGTCTTTTGTTTGCTGCTCTGCTTAACAAATATTAGTAAATAATTTTATAATAAAATAATTTGTACTTTAAAAGCTGTCTGTTCCATCCCACTAGATTTGTTCTCCCAGAGGAGGAAAGAATTTGATAAAAGAGCCCCTTGACTTAGCCCTTTCCCCAGTACTATTCATCATCTGTGTGCAGCATGGCTTGGGCATCCTGGGAGATGGAAGTAGGCAGTTTTATTTCAGTCCAAAAGGAAAGGTTCTTGTTTACAAGCAAACTTTGTGTCCAATATCATTTGGATCCTAAGTGTCCCTCAGAGGCTCATACGTTAGAGTCTTGATCTCCACAGTGGTGCTATTAAGAGGTAGTGAAGTCTTTAAGAGATGGACCTAGTGGGAGGTCTTTAGGTCATTGGTGGCATGCCCTTAAAATGGACTGTGGATCTCACACTCCCTCCTTTCTCTCTTTTGCTTCTGGGCCATGAGGTGGAAAGTTTTGCTTTGTAGTGCATTCCTGCTATAATGTGTTGCCTTGCCCAAAGCAAGGGTGCCAACTTGTCTTGGACTGAATCCTCTGAAACTGTGAACCAATATGAACTTTTTCTCTTCATAAGGTGAGCAACTCAGCCTTTTATTACAGTAACAAAAAGCTGCTGATACAATAGATGTATGCTTTTTAAAAATTATTGTCTTTATATTTTAGAGCAGTTTTAAGTGTACAACAGACATGAGCACACAACACAGAGACACCACATAAGCTTCCATTCTCCCCAGCCCTCCACATATACACAGCCTCCCTCAATATTGACAGATCCCGTGAGAATGGCACATAACATCACAAGAGGTGAACACATCAGGGTTCACTCTTGATGTTATACATTCTGTGGATTTGGACAAATTAATGACATGTAACCACTATTTTAGTGTTAGAATAGTTTCACATGCCTAAAAATCCTCTGTGTTCTGCCTCTTTATCCCCTCCTCCTTTCTAAACTGGCAAGCACTGATATTTTGTGTTCTCCCCAATTTTTCTCTTTCCAGAATGTCATATGGTTGGACTCATACTGCATGGAGCCTTTTTCAGATTGGCTTCTTTTGCTTAGTACTATGCATTTAAAGTCTTTCCATCTTTTCATTTCTTGATAGATCATTTATTTTGCAGAATAATATTTCATTGTCTGGCTATCACATAAAAAGTAAAGCATGACATACATACAGTAAAGCATACAAACCACACTTGTGATGAATTTCTGTAAAATTACCAGTTGTGTAGCCAACACCCAGATCCAGAAACAAACCAATTCAGCAGTTTAGAAACCCTGCTACCCCACTCCAGTCAATGTCCCCAAAGGCTAACCAGTGTCCTGCAATCCAACTAGAGTGACCTGTAATCCCATAGATTAGTTTGCCTGCATAAACCAATTTGGACGAAAACTTTGGAAACACTTCTTTCAATCAGTAACCTAGAAGGTTTACTTCTAAAATCTGCCACAAGTCTAAATTGAAGAGAAAACCTGAGAATAGTAAATAGAATTCTTTATTTTCAGAAAAGACCCACTAGTGTCCTCCTAGAATTGAAGAACTGATTCAAAGTCCTTGGGTTCTCTTGAGACTGTAAGGTTGAGCTTCTGTAACACCAAAATGTATACAAGTGGCACCTTCAAGAATATAATTTATTTGACATTGGCTAGGCCAGAAAGTGATTGTTTCTTTGAATCTAACATTATAAAGTAAAGCACCACCAGAGAGAAAGTACATTGGCTAGCTATTCCATGAATTAGTTTGCTCTCAGGATCCAAGAGATCTTTAAATTGTAGAACAGCTGACCTGAGCAGACCTATCCAGGGACATTGCAGATCTCTGTCCCTAGACTCCTACAGTTACAGGCAGCGACATCAGCTAATATTCCTTTTTATTTATTTATTTATTTATTTTTTTGGTATCAGGAATCTAACTCAGGACCTTGCACTTGCCAGGCAGGCACTATGGCTCTGAGCTATATATCCCCAGCCCCCAGCCAATATTCTTAAGGCCAAAGGCTGAAAGTTTTAAACAGTGAACCACAAAATGTTGATGTAGAAACACACTCACACACAACCATGCTCACACTTATGCACACACCTAATACAAAAATAACCCAGAGGCTTTCCCAGATGCAATGGGAAAAGGTAATTTTTATTTATTATCATGGCAAGTTAGTATTCCATGGCAACAGAAAACCCCAGATAGTTTCACTTGTACATGAGAACTGCAGCAGCTAGATGATCACCCAGAAAACCCTCGCCCGCCCCAGGTTCCTGGACAGTCGCTGTTATCATAGGGTGAATTTTTAAGTACAAACACATGATATTTTGAAAGATTTAAAGTAACTTATCATTAAGGGCCAGCTGACATTTTCAGAATGTAGTCCAGGTTTGGGTTTGACTTATTGGAGGAGTCAATACTTGTCTCCTGGCTATCATTAGCACAGAGAAGCAGAGGCCATTACTAGTCTAGTGGGAGTCGCTGAGTCTTGGCCGGAAATGCTCAGGAGGTTGTGAGCACGGTGCTGACCTTGCTTAACCAAAAGCAAACAGCAGGAATTGGGTAGGAGAAGACCAAACCCTTGGAATGCTCTTTAATATTATGCAGCTTCATAAAATGAGGAAAAAAATCTAACCTTAATAAAAACAGCTATGTCAGCCTGTTTTTATTGAGCATTTTGTATGTACCAGATACTGTACCAAGCACTTATCAATATTTCTTTTTTGGTTTTGGTTTTTTTCCAGTACCAGGAATCGAACTCACGACCTTGCACTTGCCAGGCAGGTGCTGTGCTGCTGAGCTAAATCCCCAGCCTCGCAATATTTCTAATTGAATCCTTAAAATAATGCTATGAGCTAAGGGTCATCATCATCACCATCTTTTTACAAGTAAAACATCTGAGTATTTCAAAAAGGAAATATCTTGCCCCAATAGCACATCTTGGAAACGTCAAAGGCTGCTTTGTCTATCCTCTGAGACACTGCAATGCAGTCCCTCAATCTTTAAATTCTCAAAGTCAAATCAAGGCCAGCAAATATGCAATGACACCATGACACTGGGAATGCAGGATGATTATGAGATTTGCTCAAGACCAAGTAGACATTCATGTAGAAGTAAAAGAAAGAAAATCTGTTCTTGAATAGTGACATGATTCTTCATCTTCACCACTTGATCCTAGTGAAAAATAACTACTAATGTAAGATAGGTTAAAAATCCAAACCTGAATTGATCAGTTGATGAAGACAACCCTCAAACTACCTATAAATATTTCTACAGCAGTGAGAGGGGCCAGCTCCACCTAAGACATGAAGTCCACATGTGGGCTGCAGGTGGCAACCCTACGTTCCCCATGGGGTGCATGTTTTCTCCCTCCAGGGTCTCAAAGTTTCAGAGTTATCCTACTTTTCTTCTCCTGCTGTTAACCTCTGGTTTCTGTGAAATGAAACAATTCATCACAGAAAACATAAAGTTGGATTATCAACCCAAGTATAACTGTGAAGATACTGGTCAATGCAACCGAGGAATTAAAACTTAATTTAAACTTAGCTAATCTTGGTGTTTGATAATAAAAGATGTCTAAGATATTTTCTGCATAATTTTATTTCTGTTTTAAAAAATACATTAATATACATACCACCCATATCTTGGCTTCAAAATACGTCTCCTGCAAAAGAAACCATAGCTCCTTGGTGCAATTGCTGATTATAGAACTGAGTTGAGGACAATTCAAGTTGAGCTTGAGCATGGTCTAGTGTCAGAAAATGAGGAAATGCTATCAAAAAAAGGGTAGAATTGTGTCAAAGAGAGATAGAAGCAACTTGAAAGAGCTCTTAAAGGCCAAAGCCAGAACAATTTGAGTAACTAAATAACATCCTATTGGATTGCAAATGAAAGTATAAAATAAGTATTCATATCGTCATGTTGATATAAATAGATGACTTAGTAAATAAATAAATGGGGTTGAAGGGACAGATTTCGCTATGGAAATTTCCAAATGATAATTATCAAACACTATATGTAGAGGTTCCCCTTCAAGAGGTAACAGACTGGTTTTAGTAACTTTCATCTGAAGGTTTGAAAAGCGGGGAAATAGCAACTTTTCAGGAGAGAAACCTGGTATACATGACCTTTGCTTGTAAATCAAGTTTAACTTCACCAGTGAGAAGTCGTATTGATATCATGTACTCCCTGAAATAATGAAATGAGAAAGGCACCTTACCTAATAATGTTCCTTCAAAATCTCACAATCTCAGTCTAAAACACATGACAGTCAGAATCACAAAAGCAAAGGTAGAAAACTGTTGCTGGTCAGTGGTGACTTGATAACTAAATGCAAGCTGGTATCCCAGATATGATCCTGGAATAGAGAAACAGTATTAGGGAAAAACTGTGGAAATCCAAATAAAGTTGGGACTTTGGTTAATAAACATACTGTGATTGTGTAAGATGAAAACCTGAGGAAAAACTGAAACGGTAATACTGCTAACAGTGAAAAATCACATGGAAAAAACGCCCTAGACAGGAAAAACAATACAAATGAGAAACATAACTTATGTCATGTTGGTTCAAACTAAGGACTCATTTTAACTTTTAAAGATGCATCCTAGAAACAAAATCTGTTCTCTTTTGAGTACACGAAGAAGTCCTTATCACTTTTGACATGCATGAAGATTTAAGAGAAACATTTAACAACCGTATTAAGATCGCTAAGATTGTTAATCAGTTAAGGGCAAACTGCTGACTTCTCGAATTTTTTCTCAGGTGGGTGTAAAGATGAACAGAGTCTGTGAAAACATAGGACCTCATATCAAGACTGGTTGGCAAGGAAAATTTCTCACTCATCTTACTGAGTCTTAGAGAACAGTTCAGTTGTTCCCAGGTGAAGCCTTCATTCTGGGGGTTGTCTGCATGACTGGAAATGGCTTTGCAAATAAGCATCTTTGCTTATCTTTACAAGGCAAGTTCACTTCAGCATTCCTCATATAAATCAAAGTAAATATAGTAATTCTAACCTGGAGCTGCGGGTGTGCACCACTAGGAAGGTGAGTTGGACTCTTTCCATAGTTGGAACCACCTGGTTATGTACTCGTTGTCTGACGTAGTTGCTGAATATGTGCTCACCCTTGTTAAGAAACTCTTGAAAAATCTATTAAAAGATCTTCAAAGGTATTTTCCCAGTCCAAGGCAGAGAAGATCGGATAAACAACACTTTTCCCACCACTTCGTGGATATTACTGAATAATGTGATCTCTTCCATGGAAGAAGAGAAACTGGAATTGCTTCAAATAGTTTCTTGAATAAAAGTCACCTGGAAAAATTTGACTAGTGTAGTTAACATTTTTGCCCACCAACACTTTTCAGTACCCTTCTCTTGTATTTTAATTTTTTACAGAATTGGGGCGTAAGTGATCAACCTGACTTCAGCCAGTTAAGATCACTCCTGTGAGATACAGATTCAGAAGTGACCATCATGAAGTGGTTGGTCAGGAGTGTCAAACCTGCCAAACACAAGTGTCAAGAATGCTGTCCGTCTGGTGCCCAGGGCTGGGAGACATGGCTGCTCATCAGCTGTGATCATGTCTCTCACAGGATGCGCCAGTGTGGCTGTCGTTACTCGTAGCTTGAAAGCCTCAAACTCTGGTTTTCTGATCCTAATGAACCTTCTGTGAGCAGCTCAAAAATTTTTTTTTTTTGTTTTTTTTTTTTTGTTTTTCTCCGGTACCGGGAACCGAACCCACGACCTTGCGCTTGCCAGGCAGGCGCTTTTGCCGCTGAGCTAAATCCCCAGCCCCAAAATTTTTTTAATAAATCCCTTGCCTGTCTAAAGTGGTCACACTGAATTCTGTTGGTTGCACATAAGAATCATTACTTACATATTAAGCAGCAATTAAATACTTTTCTCCTTTTTAGTTAAATACATGGGAATTGGGATATGCTTAACATAAAATTAAAACCTAGAGTTACCTTGCTAAAAACTCCTCTTAAACTTAAACTGTCTTATGACATCAAAAAGCCTTTACTGCTCATAAGTAGGAACTAGTATACTCTTTCAGTGGTTAACCTACTTTTTGTACATATTCCTGAAGATCAGTCTGATTAGTTTCCATCTTGTTTTTCTAAATATTAATTGTTAAATATAACAATATTATTTTCTTTTAAGTAAAAGTGAATAGTTTTTAAGAAAAATAATAATTGTAATATCACATGTGATACATATTAAGAATCCCTAATAGAAAAACCCAAAGTCTGAAATTGTTAAGTGTCAACATGATGCCACAGGTGGAAAAATGTCACCCCAACTTACCTGACAAGTGAAAGTCAAAACATACGTATGCAAAAATATTGTATAAAACTATCTGCAGGTTATGTGCAGTGGAGGAGGTAAGATCAAAATGTATAGTGAATGTTTAAATAAAAATTTTAAGAATTTTTATAATAAGACACATTATTGTTAATCCCTCTCAAAATACCCCCCATTCCTCAAATACACTTATCCCATTGTTCTTGCTACTTCCTGAAGCAGTTCTGAAAGTGCTGTTCTATAAATGTCTTTTCATGACTATCTTAAAGTTCTAAATCAATTCAAAATATATACTCTAGTTTCTGTCAAATCAAAATATTATACTGTGTCTTTATCCACCCTGGTCATGGGATGTGGCATCATGCAATTTGTGTCTTTCCCACAAAGTCAAAATGACAGAGAAAGTTAAACATTTTTTAATCAGCTCAGGTCATTGAGTCAGCCATGACAATGCAATTAAAGACACTCATGAAAGAGAACTTCCAGGACTGCGGATTTAGCTCAGTGGTGCAGCGCCTGCCTGGCAAGTGTGAGATCCTGAGTTTGATTCCTGGTATCTACAAAAACATTTCTATGAGAAGAAAGGACTTACAGAACTGTTTCAGAAAATGGCAAGAGTGATGGGATAAGTGTCCTCTCAGTGAGGGGAAATATTTTTATTATACCTTATATAAACAAGTTTAATGTTTAGATCTGAGTTACATTCTCAAATTGTCTCATTATATATATGAAAAATTCCAAAATCTGAAATATTTCTAGTCCCAGTTACTTCCCATAAGGAATATTCAGCCTGTATATGACATGGAAAAAATGACAAAAATGATACATAAAGGACAGAAATAGAGATAGGAGTGTGTAAGCCTCTCTGATGGACGCAGGGAAAGGTTTGAAATGAAAAGAATTATGAGGCAACTACTGGGGCAAGAGTTTTCAGGATAGCTGAAGAGGAATGAAGGAACTTGGGCAGAGTGACCAAGAAGTCAGAAAGTGAGAAGGCTGGAATACCACGTGCATTCAGAATAATATGTGTGGGGGGGCTGGGAATTTAGCTCAGCGGCAAAGCGCCTGTCTGGCAAGCGCAAGGTCGTGAATTCGGTTCCTGGTACCGGAGAAAAACAAAAAAACAAAAAACAAAAAACAAAACAAAATATGTGTGGGGGTTGGGGATTTAGCTCCATGGCATAGCACCTGCCTGGCAAGTGCAAGGTCTTGAGTTCGATTCCCGGTACCGGGGGAGGGGGGGAAAAGGCTTACAGAATAATACGTGTGATAAAAGGAGGAGAATGGATTGAAGGGAAAGCCTGGTGCATAAGGGTAAAGCCTTCAACATGGGTAGTAGGCTCTAAGCATAGACAGCCTTAAGTACCTGCATAAGATTGAGATTTTAATAAGATAAAGGAACAGCCAAAGAGTTTTAGGAACACATTATCAGGTTCATGGTTTGGAAATGAAATGTTTAAAGAGATACTCTTCCCAGGAATATTTGAATTTTAAGAGACCAAAGATTTATATAGAAGTGGCAGAATCCCAGGCATAATTCAGAAAAGAGAAAACTGTTTGCTTTCAGACCCTAACATTGTACTTTGCATTTTATTTACCTGTAAGACTAGTGCTGGTGGAAATGAAAACTAAATGTTAGTTTATTGTAGTTTTAAAATATCTTTATATATATACGTGAGATCAAACTCAAGGCTTTGCACATGCCTGGTTATCATTCTATACTGAGCTACACCCTGGTCCATCCTATTAATGGAAATTAATTAAATTCTATTATGATGAAAATATACACTCTGTAAGACTTAATTCTTTTAAATTCATTACTATTTGTCTGGTAGCGCAAAATACATTCCATTTGTATTAGAACAGAATGTTTGCTCTGCTTTTGTTGAGGGCGTTTTCTATAAATGTTAATTATATCAAATTGGTTGACAGAGTTGCTCAAATCTTTTGTACTCTTATTGATTTTCTATTGATTATTGAGAGATAAATATTGATATACACAACTATTTTAAGTAAATCCATCAGAAGGCACTTAGAAGAAAATTGAGTAAATTAAAAAAACAAGACCCCATTATAATATTTTTAAAGGCAGAATTTGGGGGGGTAGGGAATCAACTGACACAAAAGAATGAATCAGTGTGTTTAGGATTGAATGCATGGGAGATCTTTGCTGAACCCTGAATCACACACAGTTAGATAACCAACTATCGTACTTACCTGTGAAAACAGGGCCCTTCTAGTGCCAGTGGTAAATTTTCTAATGAAAGAAGTTGAGAATGCAGATGAGACTAACCCCCCTGAAAAAGAAGAATTTGCCCAGGAATAACAATCTTTAGGGATACCCTTAGCTACAATCACCAGCAGCAATACTGTAATGTCATTAACCTTATTCCTCTCACTCTGCTTGAGGTCACTTTATCTGTGAACTGTGCACCCACACACTCACACAGATAAGAGGCCACTAACAAAAGCACGAGTGTTGGCGGGCCCACCAACTCCATCTAACCCAGTTAGCACATTTCCCAGCATTCTCTCATGAAGTCATTGGCAGTGTCAGTGTTCGAAAACTGCATGGCTCAGATGTTTCTAAACCCTTTTAATCCACGACAAAGGCCTCCTTTTATTGTTGTTTTGTTTTCCTTTGCTGCCCTACAGCATGGCAGCCAGTGTGCGCTCCTGATAAGCAGCAAGCCATGCAGATGCGGTTCGGCTTCCTTGTGCACATCACCATGCAACCTGCCAAGGCCCAAATGTGGAATGCGGCAGGGGCTTCCCCTTCCCCCACCCAGAGACAATGCCAATGGCACCCTGCACTGTGGCGAGCAGGCCAGATAACTTCCCAAGAACACAAAACTAATTTTTGTGTGTGACACAGATGACATTTACCATTGCTTAACGGAGGGGGTGGAATGCATATGGCTAATGTAAATAATGTCATTCTAATCAAGTGACAGAGAGTAGCCAGCTTCCAAGTTGGAGCCAAAAGGGAAGAAAATGTTACTATGAGTTTTTGAGAGGTTATTTTGCTCTTTCTCTTCCAGCTTTGCATGGCAGAA